TTTTCATAGTGTTAGAGTAGACTGGGTCTTTAAATGAGCGGCGAGTTTTTTCCGCCATATCGAATGGAAGGAAGCTGCAAAAAGCGCCGTTCTATGTGTGCCGTTATCAATCTCCATATCGCCGGGTAATCGCGCGGAAGCTCCGACAACGCGAACGCGATATTCGCACGCGGTAAGAAAACTGCAATGGCTAGCGATGCGTGAATAATTCGCGCCGCCTTCGGCCTTCGGATGCATAAACGGGTGCTAACGTTAGGGATAGGTGTGTCCTGTTCCGCGGTGTGCAAGCAATGTCACTGGGTCGGCGCATTCTGTCATTCGCCATGAGAAACTGGCAACAATGCAATGCAACGCGCAGTGCAGCAATTGCGTAACGCGATTGCATAATTACACCGATCCGCCAGAGCGGAACCGAGCTCCTCTCTCAGATCGCGTGCTGCGATGATCGATCAATAAACTCGCTTGCGTATGCGTCGCGCGTATTATCTATGAATCGACATTTTTTTTTCGATTCATCGCGCCAATCGTCCATTGAATCGCGGGATCGAGCGATCCACCGTCGACGAAAGATGCAATCGACGAAAGATGTAATGAGATATATAATTCGCTAATCGTTGTTAAAATAATTATTACCGCAAATAAATTAATCGAACAGGGTGTTTACGCAAATTATGTAAGAAAATTCCCTAAATCCCCATAAAATTCCATGAGAATTCCCTGATTTCTCCAGGTACAAAAGAAGTCCTTGAGAACTCCAGGTTTTCCATGTTTTTCCACGGACACTCTGTCGAATTATCATCTCTCGTTTGGATACGCGAGAGCAGAAACGATCGACTTGTACAAGTCACATCGAAATTTCTTGCCCACGCTTCCGAGACTATTTCGCTTCTAGTCAAGTAAAGCCGGCGACTGTTTATAACTGCAGGATGTCCTGGCCGATACGACAAGCCGAATATCTAAATAGTGAATGTGCATTATGATATGTGCCTGCACCTACGCTCGCGAAACTCTATCTCGTTAATTGACGGGAAAACCAAGCGGAAAGACCGAGGGAGGCCGTTCGACGATTCGATACAACGATGTATTGGCGATTATTAATACTGTGCTTCTACGAATCAATGTATCGTATCTGAGAATTTCCACTTTAATGACGATTAACGACGTTGACCATTTGTCGGATCTCTATCTTCGCGATTTCACGTGCAAAATGATTAATAAAGAAACGAAAATGTGCGTTTTATGATATGCCATCGTGTTTTTCGCGAGGTTTCTTTACAGTAAGCCCTTCTTCCGATCGTTATCGATACGTATCACTTCTAGGAAGGCATCGTACAAACATACACAGGACCTACAGTTTGGCGCAACCGAGATGACGCTGGCAGATGTTCGGCCAGCTTGCTGGCTAACTGACTCGTTCGTCGAAGTTCAAACATCGAATTCGAAAAAAAAGAGGAGAAAACCATGCAAATAACAGGCAAAGCACAGTCAGTTTGTGCATACGCGGTGAATCATTCAAATTCTTTCCCTTAAATAATTTTAAAAAATAATGATTAATTATTCTTTTTTCTTGACCTCTAAATAAAAGTACGCGGCAGCACTTCGCTAAATAAAACATGCCTCAATTTGTCTTGGACACCCTATATATAGTCTAGAATAACTTTTACTGGTAAACGCCCTGCAAAGAAACTTGGTTGCACTTTAGAATTTTGCGACTTGCATCTCGCCTACTGCTCTTTATCTCTCTCCCTCTTTCTTTTAAGAAGGCGCGATACTCACTTTAGAAGACCCTGAATGTTGAAGCAGAGAAGTAGAAGCTAGAAGAATATAACAGAAGCAGAGCATATAAGGCATCGGCTGATGCCTGCGGTGCATGGTGCAGGAGGACGGCGTTGCAAATGAGAGGAAGCAAACGAGCGAGCGAGCGAAAGAGAAAGAGAGAGAGAGAGAGAGAGAGAGAGAGAGAGAGAGAGAGAGAGAAAGACAAGGAAAGGGAGATGGAAGAAGGACAAAAAAAGCGAAAGAAGAGGTGAAGAGAAGGATAGAGGAGCACACATAGCAGTGTAGCTCGTCCTTGGACTTATATAACGAGGAAGAGACCACAAGAGGGAGAGGAGAGAAAGAGAAAAAGAGAAAGAAGGTTCGCGAAAGAGAACACAACGACACGCGGATAGAGAGTACACGGATTAAAAATGAAGGATAAAGGGCGATGTTAGCCCTTTGCGATGCGTGTGCGGCCAAAATTCCAGGACAAAAGATTTCGGGGTATTTCTTCTTTTCGGATCCTAACTGTGCAGGCAGGTCAGAAAACTCGCAAATGCAACGACCCGGCAACGATGCCCTATGCTTTTTCCGCTCCCTTTTCGTCCCTTTTCCTTCTGAGAAATGCCGACCACCATCGACTCATCTCTCGTTTTAACTCCGGAATATATGTATATAGTGTCATTCCCATCGCCATGAGTACTTCCTCCAACCACGGGATATTCTTCTCCGAACTTTGAAAATCTTTTTTCCTCTCCATCGTTATTCCCTGACCGACAAAAATATATAGGGTGTCTTGGACAAATATCGACGAATTTATTTCAGAAATTTCTAAAATATTTTTAAAAAGTATTTCCAAGAGAATATTCCAAAGCATTCTTTCACGAATGTTATTTCCTTTTTTTTCCTATATACGTATCTGATTAACTTGAGCGTGTATTAATTCACGCGAGAATCATTTTCTATAAGATAAACCGCACGAAGATTATCTCAAAAGACGGACTCTGTCGTACTCGCGAGCGCGACGTCTTGAAAAGCGAGAGAAAAGCAATATAAAAGACGACGCGACGGTATGCAAAAAAAAAAAAAGAAAGGAAAAAAAAGAGCGGCGAGAAAAAGGAACGAGGAGTCGCGGCCGTGATCTCGCGGAGACCGGAATGAATGCAGAAAGATCGGCGCGGTTGGGTCGCACACACAACCGCACGCGACCAAACTTAGAACTTTGCGCTCCCGCAATTTTACTTGCTCGTGAGTTTATTGCATCACGCTTTCCCTAGCGAAAATCGAAATATTTATCAGCTCGCGATTTTTTATATTATGCCAGATTTGACGCGCTAAATAATGGCCGTTAAAATCGCGGAGCCATTCGAGTGATACGAATCCGCCATTCGCAAAAAAAAAAAGCTCGATTAATTGGCGATCGCATTCGCGTCAACAAAAGCATCAAATTCGAATAAATTATGCGCCGAGTCGACAATCGATGCAAAAAATGCACGAATAATATAAGTAAATCATCAAAATATTAATTGTTTAGTCGACTCCATATTTATTTTTTTATTGATCGATCAAAACGCTAGTTTTATTCATCCAAGCAATTTTATTTTTAACGATACAATGTGGATGTTTATTTTGAATCTTATACTTTGTAAAAGCATTTGGCGAAAAGTACTCCGATAATTAAACTTTCTATATAATTCGGCTCGTAACAATGAGTAAGTCACATTCAACACATGAAATAAATAAGAGAATTTATTGTAATCAGATGTATCTTGAGACGCACCTTATCCTATATACGGAAAGATTTCATAGTGTAATGACAAATAATAAAATATTACTTTCAACCTTTTTGTTGTGGAATCTATTTTTTTCATTCCGGCAAAAGTGAAAAGTCTTTCTCGTTTCGATTGACGGTCGAAGGGCTGGATCGGGGCGACGGCGCTACCGGGAGGGTTGTTGCACGACGGCGACGACGACGACGCGGGAGGGTTAATTCGCGGTGGCTTGAGGTAGGACGCGCACGAGCGGTCGGCAGGTGTCGCCACGTCGCGACGTGGCACGACATGGCACGCGGTCGCCAGGCCAGCCGTACTCGGTCAGGCGATAATAATCCTCACGTGTGCGCGCCCGCCGTTGTCAGACGACATCGTGACTCCGATTCATCGCGCGCTGCCCTGGCCCCTCCTCCCCTATGTAGGTTAAAGACACGCAGTTACGGTCGCACGCGGTGATTGCGCGCCTCGGAACACCCTGGTGGTATTATCGTGGTACCTCGTCTGGGACTTCTTCCACCACGTGCCCGCGAGCGATCATCCGCAGGATGATGCCCCCAAAATGTATCTCGCGTACTCTCCATCTTCGTCGGAAGCGCGAGCGAGCGAGCGAACGAGATATGAAAGATCGCGCGGGGGACGCGGGAGAGACTGTACGCGCTCCGCGTACAGTCGGTGCCAAAAGCGCGCCGCGTGACATAGATTCGATCGCGGCGGCAATTTTCCCGGCGACCCCGACGCCGACGGTCATCCACCGTCACGACATTCGGGTGAATCGCCTCGACCGCGGATGCGTACGACGACGACGACGACGACGACGACGACGACGACGACGACGACGACGACGACGACGACGACGACGACGACGACGACGACGACGAGGGAGGCGTCGCGCGATTTGTGTCATAGTCACAATATTGTCGCCGTTTCTCACGCGGGACTTTAGCATCCTCTCGAGCGAACTTACCTCTCTCGGAGGACTCCATCGTCGCGCTCCTGGGGACGCTGCGCTGCAGACTCCCGGGGCTAGACGGGGCTTGAAACGGGGGATCTCGCCACTGGCGGGCGTGTGGCACGTGGAGAGGAGGACCCGTTCTTGGCTCACGTCGGTCAGCTCGAAAATTCTCACCACAGTATAAACATGGCCGGCCGCGCTCTCGACCGCACGGCTCCCTGGCCTGTCACGATCCGCGGCGCGAGGGGGGTCGTTGAACCTCTTACCGCGGCTGCGAGACGGCGTCGCGGAAGGGCACCGGCCGCGCGAATTCTTCCTCCGGGGGCCTGCGGGGAAAAAAACGCCGTTGCACCGTAGGCTCCGGTGGGCGCGACCTAAAAATAGATCGCGGATTTCGGCGGATTGTTTTGACTAATAATGCGCTTCGCAACCTACTCGCTGGTGGCGCCACTGAGCGGCGAAGTCGCGCTACACTCGCGCCCCCGCGACGCGCTCGCGCTGTCATCTGTCATCTGTCATGCGATGTACATGTGCACATGATATACCTATGTAAGAATGTATATATAAATATCTCTTTTCTGTCGAGAGAGAGAGAGCGAACGCTGGAAATTGAATAATTTCTTGTATAGTTCGCAATTATATTTGCATTATAATGACCGGGAATGATGTCAAGCAGGCTCTCAGAAAGCTGGATTTTCCTTATTGCGCCAGGGAAGCTCTATGCAGAATCGGTATGAATAGCATAGGTTATCTCGATAATAATAACATCAGTGCACAGAAACTGTAACTAAATCGTACAGATCTATTATAAATAAATTATATTACAAATAATTTAATAAATAAATATTACAAATAATATATAACTGTGTTATATATCCGCATTATTACTTTTTCTTTTATTCAAGAAATACTCTGCTGCAGACCCGGCAAGCAAGTCGATCTGCAAATGGACTTGATATCGGAATTTGTGTTTGGAGAGATAGAGAAACGAAAGAAACGTAACATGACCATGGCGATACAAGAATTGCAGCTGATAGAGATTACGAGCGACTTCTTCCAAAGTCCAGGTGGCACGCCAGCGGTACGCAACGCTCTCTTTCTTTCGCTTTTCCCAGCAGACAGTCCCAGGTATAAGACTGTAGGTAATCTGGTATCTTTGGCGATTGCCACGCAAAACAAAGCAGTCCTGAATGCAGCTGGCATCTGGATGCAGCAATTGGGCTCCACCTCGCTGCAAAGTGTGGGATTGGCGAGGCATATACTCAACGACTATTTTGTACTTACACCAAAATCCATTGATAAGCTGAAACAACTACCTGTACTCGCACCGCATTTCACCGCAAACTTATTAACAGCGATAGGTGAAGTTTATGAAGATAAAGATCCGCCTATGGAGCTGCTCAGATTGGTAGGCGAATGGATCGATGAGAATCCAAGTTTACTATTGACTCCCTTAATGGACAATCCAGCATTGCCCACTGGTGGGATTCCAATGACACCGATAACACCTATAGCAGGCCTGTTTAGGTATTTTGTGTACTGTAATTTTTTCAATATAATAATGATAAATAAAAACGTTTAACATCAAATTATTTCTTTTATCATAGGTGGTGCATATTGAGTCCTCTGCGTCATGACGCCGCGGAGAATACGGAGGGTCAACAAGAGACGCGAAAATTTCATTCAAAGGTTCAACAGTTGCTCATGGATTCGGTATTGCGTCTGAATAACAGCGGTAGCAACAAACACGCGATATCAGCGCAGCATTTGGCGTCTACTACTCGTTTATTGACGACGAACTTGCAAAATCGCGCAAACATAGACACAGCTTCGCGTGATTTAGCCATGGAACGACTCGCGCAAGCCGTCAGTGCGGCCATGTCTGCGAACTGTATTTATGGAAATAAACGTATATATCTTTTATATACATATATAAAAAATAAATATATATTAACGCTATATTATATATCTAACATTTGTTACAGAAGAACTATTGGCACTTTTGCAACCATTGTCGTATCAACATTTTTTAATCGAATGGACATTACAAACTTATGCAACTAAAGCAGCTTGAGATACCATAATGACAATGTGTTATTTCACAGATAATTTAATAATTACTGTTTGTACATAAAAAAGATGCGATTTTATTGAACTTAATTATATTAACTACTGTACAATAATATTTAATTTTTAGCCTAAAATGGCTTGAATGTCCGCTTTAATTTTAATTCCTGCAGTCTCTTCTTATCCAATTCAAACTTCTTTCGTAATTCTGCTAAATCTAAAAGGAGCATCGTATAAATTAAATGTCTCTAAAAGAAATTTTGTATTACAAAAATCTTGTGATTTGAAGTTACACTTACTCTGCTTCTTTGCCTCGCGAATTTGGAAAGTGTAGAAATTAAGTAATTGTTTCTTTTTCTTGCGTTGTTCTTCCTTTTGTTGCACCTTGCCAATAGTAGATTCTTTCCTAGATGGTGCAAATTGTCCTCTTTTCTTTCCAGCTGCTATGGTTACCCAGCCATCATCTTCCTCTTCTGCAATCTGTTCTTTCGCAATGCGATCCTCTACCTGCTTATCATACAAAGTTAAATATTCCTCAATTTCTTTTTTTGTTATTTCCTCGTCGCACAAAGAATCATTGTATTCTTTGCACCATCCTGTTTGAAAAAAATTAAAGAAATAATTAGAAGAGATATAACTTAAGAGATGTAAAATTACGATTACAATATAAAATAAAATACAACTTACTTTTTAATCCTGTAAGGCATTTATTTTCATCATTATTCAATGTGATGACGCAGTCTTCTGACAGTTCCATCGCCTTATCCAAGGAAGATTCTTCTTTAAAAACAATATATGCAGTTTTGAATCCTTTTGCTTTCGAAAATGTAATTAAATTTACATCTCCACAAAGCTTAGTAAATGCATGTTTCAAACAGTCAGTGGTTGCATACGGTGGTACATTTAATACAAAGAGAGTTTGGTTCCTGGGATATTCAGGTTCTTGATTTCTTACAGAGTGTTCCTTAAAAAACAGCTGATGCTTATCCGAACTGTCTGCATCGAAGCGAATCCAGAATGCTATAATACAAAATAAGTTTATTTTGAATATAATCCAATATACATATATACCAAAAGAAAAAAGTTTTCTCTCTATATATATAAATGATATAACTTACTTTTAAAACCTTTTGTATTTTGTGTATTAATAGTTTTCATGTTTGGATTTTCTCTCTTACAATATATTTTTATCAAAATTTAAAGCGAGTGCATCCAACTAAGCATTTACCGAGTTTTTATTTATCATTTCTTTTATATTAGTCTATCTATATTTTGGTAATAAACTTATATACTCTAAACGCTTCTAGTAGAATGAAAACAAATAAGGTTATACAGACACATGGGGGACATAAATATCGATTCGAGAGATTTCGAGAGGTTCTTTGTAGCTGAACTTCTTGCACTCTTTTTGTTTTTCCTCTCTTTCTCTGCAACATTTAAATATATATATCTATCTCATGTTTCAGGTTTCAGACATTCTACGCATGTGTTCTTAGAATAATGGTAAACAATGAAAGATAAGGGAAAATTGAGAATAGAGAATTTCGCGGGAGAGAAATATGTAAAAAAATTAACTTTTGAAATTTAGCCATACACATACATCTTACTACTAATTTATTTTACATCTTATTAAAATATATTTTTTTAATAACTATAATTACTTTTAAAGAGTAATACAGTCAAACCTTTCCAAATAAAAATAACATCTGTCCGTTCTAAAATAGTCGAGAAATATTTTAAATTTAATTTCTCCTTTGCTTGCATGTTGTTCGCCGTTACTTTATTCATGTAAAACTGCTAAATTTCTTATATAAGAGAGAGAGAGAGAGAGAGAGAGAGAGAGAAATTTTTAAATCGGTTTTATTTAAAAATATATAAATGATAAGTCACATATGTAATGCTTATTTAAAAAATATATTTTCTTTCTCTAAAAAGATCAATATAATATGACACTATATTACGACAAATGAATTGTTATTTTTCCTCGCCGCATCGCAAATAATCAATTCAAACTGGCGAGAAAATGACGCATTGCACATGCATAATACATGCAAGTGACACAAATGTCAAGGACATTCGAGTCATTTAGCGCGCGTAATCGATTTAAAAGCGCAAGTATATGTAACTCTTGCTTGTTGATCCAAAAATTTCTCGCTCTTTTGCTTTAACTGCATTTTGCTATCTTGCTTCTATTTTACCCTTTACTTGCTTCCTTTTCCTTGCATCAGAATTCGAATCAATATCTATTTCATTTCACATGTAAAAACTGCGATGGAATAAAAGAGGATTAACATACAAGCAAGCCCAAGATTTTTTTAGAGGATTCTATTATTCCAATTGCATTTTGCTGAATTAAAGTAATAGAGATATATATTTAAATATATTAGAAATAGAAAAGGAGAGAGAATAGAAAGATTAAAGAAAAATAGGAAAGGTACAAAACTAAAAAAAAAAAAAAAAAAAGCATATAAAATTTCAAACGCGCTCTTTTTACGTGATAACAATTTTGCGAACGCTGGCTTGTTTTTGCGCAAACAATCAAATCGATGCTCGTTATACAAGTCGTGTGGCACCGAGAAATATTGATCAAGGTGCTTGCCCGACCGCTGACAGTGCGCGTCCGTAACGATCACGGTAGTTATGTGCGGAGGAATTGTCGCACGAGGGTCGCACACACGAAATTCGAAACTGGCCTTTTTACTGTTACTCTTCTCGATCGCGCATCTGCCGTTGCTGCGACAACACGTCGATGCCAAGATACTCCGTGGCAATTTGGTGACACGCGAGGTAAATGCGTATATTAATAACAGAAATTGAATTACAAGCGGAGAACGCGCGATTTTATAACGTGAATAAACTTCCATCTATCCCCCTAGGGAAGCAGCTTTAAGGCTGCGTTCGGAAACATCACCCGTATGCACACGAGTGTCGTTCTATCTTTATTATTTATTAAAAGTTGAACAAAGATAGAACGATGCTCGGGTGCTGTTTCCGAACGTACCGTAAGATGGTCGATACTAGCGCGCGCAAAGAGAATCATCAATCAGTTGCAACTGAAAGAAGATTGAATAAATATTAATTAGATTTTTATGCGATTTAATATAAAATACGCGAAAATTAATCACCGAATATTTAATCGTATTTTTTTTATGATACAGTTTGGGGAATATTGTGTTGAAAATCAAAAGCAGAGCAAATCACACAAAACTCTATAATTTATATATTTTATATGCACACATTTTACTATGTATCACAAAAAGATCTTTAAATGCAGTGAGAGAAACAATATAAAAATTATTTTTATAATTATTGTTACTGTATGATTAATATTGTATAGGCAATAATATTGACTGATGCAAAAACCATTTATACGCTGTTATTGTTTTTTAATAAAATAAGCTTTAACGATTAAAAATTTATGGCATACGATAGATAATAGAAATGACATATTTTCAGAATTGGGCATTCGTTGCGAGATTCTGTTTTCTAACGGAACGCGGTACTTTCCGATATCATTTTCAATTAGGAGGTGAGGAACGCGATTTGAATCTGTTACTCTACTATGATGGACCTCATCAATGGCCCACCGTCTATCCTTCCAACAAGACGTGTCGAGAAAAGGAGAGTATCCTTAATATCGATTACGGTCAAATAATACCCTTGAACACGTCGTTACATTTGTCGGGATGCTTGGAAAGCGACGACGGTATAGTTCGATGCGACAGTCAGAGGAAATTCATCTCGGCACGGCCGAGATGGTGGTTCGTAGCTTTAGCCGACTGCTCTTCCAAGACAGGCTTGAACGTCACGTACTGGATATCGTTGACTAACGCGCCGATCGGCACATTCTGGAAGGAACACTTCTCCGCGGATGAATTCTGCAAGTAATTTGACTTTCACGACAGTCGACGAGACTCGGAATAGCGTTCCTTAATCGTGCCCGTTCTTTCGTTTGCAGACATACTGCCGCTGCTGATAACGACCGCTTGTATCTACGTGATAGTCACTACGCTTAGTTTCTACGTAGCGCTGCAACTACGCTCCAGGAGACTGCTGCATATATCCTACAAACTGTTTATAATTTCCGTGTTGTGTCAGTTATTGGGCTTGTTGTGCGAGATTTACAGTTATGTCAATCTCGGTCTGAGAGGAGTGCCAGCCGAGAAGGCTCATTTGTTGGGCCAGCTCTCGGAAGCGTGCTCCGAGACTCTGTACACGGTGCTTATGTTGCTACTTGCACTCGGCTACACGATTACCAAGAGTGTCCTCACGTCATCCCAAGTCCGATGGCTCATACTGTTTACCAGTATTACTGCCATTTGTCAAATGTCGCTGTACATATGTCAGTCTGAAATATTCGATCCCGGACTGGTGCTGTATATTTACGAATCGCCACCAGGCTACGGATTAATAGCATTGAAATTGATCGCCTGGTTCGTGTTTGTCACTCGTTGTTTCAAGACCATCAGGAAGCTGAACACAAAGCTTCATTTCTACTTTTCGCTGATTATGTTGGGATCAACATGGTTCCTCTGTCATCCCCTAACGGTATATTCATACATCAAGTTTTATTTTAATCAAGTAATTTCTAAACACTTGTGTGCGTGTGTCCTATCTGAACAAAATATTTTATATTTTATAAAAATATGTAATGTATTTCTTTGTCTATAGATATTGACCATCACTTTATTTGTGGATCAATGGGTGAGAGAGAGTGTCGCTAAAGGAAGTTCCCTTTGCATTGTCTTCTTGGGTCACATAACGTTTTTATATGTAACGCGACCATCTGTGAACAATAAGCGTTTTCCATTCCACATTAGGACATTCCAAGTTGTGCCCATAGGTGGTCATGGACAAGATCACAGTTATGAGCCTGGTTCTCAAACTGCAGTCACGGCATTTACTATCACACGAACACCGGCTTACCTTAATCAATCATGATGGAAAAAAAATAGTAGATAGGAAAGCGCCACCATTGGCAGAACGCACTCTTATTGCAGTGGCTATCGAAGAAAAGCAATTTTTGTGATATCAGTATATTTTTTTACCATACATAGTGCAATGATGTGCGGTAATGTACGCATTTTTGCATTGAATCCTATCAAAATGGATATCCTAATCTAGATAATCGAATACTGTTAATAACAATACTGATTTTTTTGCCACTATATTGGCTAAGATTTCCATATAAACAATTTCAAATCTGTATATAAGACTTTTATCTTATCTTGTCACAAAGATATTTATAATAAAGTACATGATGCAATTTCAGATACTTTCTTATTTTAATACAATGAAAAACGGTTTATCACATCTTTTCAGGAAAAAAGATGGACTTGAAAATTTTTTGGAAAAGAACATGTATTGTTACCAATTTTCATTTTTTACATTTTTTATATGTGCATATTATGTAATTGAATCTAAGGCTAATAGATTGTGTTGAATATGTAAAAAGATAATAATTATCTATACAATAATCCGTATTTATATTCAGGTCCCATTGTACATTTGAAAATTACTATTGTTACTTATTATCAATCACAAGAGCCATCCAGCCAGCCATCTCTCCACCTTTGATTCACTAATTTACAATCAAATTCTGGTTTTCCAAGTTTCTTATTTACCTCGTTATGGATTCTGCATAGCCATTGACTCAATTTTTCCTGCGAACCAGTCTCTGGCGGTGTGCGTTTTAATTGTTCCTGCAGATCATCCGCACATATGTTGCAAGGATAAAATTTGGAAAATATATGAAAGAAGTTCTTCATTTCAGTCTTCTGTTTTTCATTTGGTTTATCGGGATAATATGCAGCCATACTGTGTAAAAAGGCCCAAGACTTTGAACCTAATTCATCTTTATCTAAAGGGCAATTGTCTCGAGTACTATTACTGGTAACTGGAGTTTGGTCTTGTTTTTTCTGTCAATTTTTTAAATCATAATTACATCATGACACGATTATAATGGCATTATAAAATGATTATAATCATATAACGCAATTCTTACAAAATAATAAAAAATATAAAATATCTAAAAAAAATAAGAGTAGAAATTTTTACATAGAATCTGATGACACAAAATCAGATTATTAAGCATGAATGAATATTAACAAATTATTTTACGAATTGTTGGTTCACCTTTTTCGAGTCGTAGGCTTCTTTCTCACGTTTCGTCCAGGTCTTAAAATCCTGACAAGCACGACACGGCTTTTCATTTGACATTTTCTAGCACTTTATATGCATGTACGTAAAGATCCTCAATATGTCACCGTAAACAGGTTAACGTAGCTCTCATACGCAGCATAACCTCTCTTTTCTCTCTTACAGTTATAAGATTGGCATCGAAGGTTTTTTTAATCCTTGTACATATTCGGTAAAATTATTCATAATGTAGTCAAAATGAAACGGATTTATGACAGTTAAAAGCATGTCTTTGTAATACTAAAAATTTGATACGGCTGCCGCTCTTACAGCGGCTGTGGGCCACTCCATTCCATGATGTAATCCAGTGATGCGCTGCCGTCATCCGTCATCACTGGCCGCGTTCAGGTGCAGCAGAGAAAACCGCTTGTTAGTAGCAATTGAATATGATTGGTTCTTACTTTTAGAACCAACGAATCAACGTCGAGTGTTAACAAGACGATAACTGAGCGCTTTCTCTGCTGAACGCGGCCACTGATGTAATCTAACCTACCCTAATCTGATCTAACACAATCCCAACCTAAGATTCTACAGGGTGATGCGCAAAAATATTTCATCAATAAGAATGTTATTATAGTTATTAATAAAAAAAGAATACAATAAATAATACATATATATATATATATCTCGTATATAAAATTTTATTTATAGATATTGTTTCTCTGTTGTTCCAACAGTGAATATGTAACCCTTGGATTTTTACGACTGATAAATTTCTTGCCATTGGCGCTAAAATCAGATCGCTTGCTCACGCATCACATTGTATATTTCACACAACTTTTGTTACAAGTTACAAGAATATCATTCAACCGTCAAGTTAGAATACTGTGTATAAAACCGGTAGTTTTTCTTTTTTTAAATAATGCATGTCAGTTACTTTATGTGAATAAAAATACTTTTATGGTATTTCTTTGTAACCCATAAATGCTGTCCTAAACGTTCGAAATCGTTCCATTAATTTTTATCGCGGGAGATAAATGTGTTCGTGTTTAACCTAAAACACAAACTTTGCGACCACGTGAATTGAAAATTTATTCGACAATCGAAACATGAATCCTTAACTTTTCACGTTATTTTTCTTAAATTAAACACAATTTGCCCCAACATTGAATACAGATCTAAAATATATAATTTTCTTTTTCAGAAAAAATCGCGAGTTTAATACATGTATAAAATTATATAAATTTAATTGTATATATTTTCAAGAATATTGAAAATATTAGTTTTAACATTATTTGACTTGAAAATTTGAATGCGATGATATGATTTTCATAAAATTATATAAATTATATATATATATATATATATATATATATACAGTATAACAAACGAAATGTCAGGAACGTTTTTAATACTTGCCGGACAAAGATCAGCATATAAATGGTATGTAATACAATGACTGTATATAGTTATTTTAGACTACAATATTCAGCTTTATTCATCAACATTATTAATTTATTAGCATTCTTAATTAGTAACTAAACTGGATTAATAATCTTTATGTGTAAATATAAATTTTTGGACAATGATTATTATTTTGTTATATAGGCTTAAGCATTGTCGTGTATCGTATTTATATAAGGATGTGATTAAAGACTCACATGTTCATAGTGCAGTACAGTACTGTATTTCTGTGAAGGATAAAGACGTTTTATCTAAGGTACATTTAAAGACATAACTTTGTACAAGTAGTTCTAAAGATAATATTTTTAAATAAGAAAAAAATTACTTGTTTGAATGTTTTAATATTCTAGATAAACGACTTTACAAAATATGAAGATGTAGCAAATACAAACAATTCACATTCAAATATTAAATTGGAAGAGAAAAAGGTAAGCAATATATAATCCATTATAGTAGGATTTTTATTATATATTAAAGGTAACAAAATTTGTTGAGGTGCAAAAATTTGAATTTGCAGCAAACTTACGATAAATTAGAAGAAAATTATGATAAACTTGGACATCAAAAATGTAATAAGGAATCCTTAAAAAGTATGTATAAAGAATTTTTATGTTTAAAATAAAATAATTCTCTCTAGAATCTAATATATACATATATATAAATAAAAATTAAATTATAAAAGCAGAGCATTTGTAGTTTAAATGATATGAACAATGTAGAATTATATTTTGCTAGTAAAAGCATATATTATTTCAAGTATATGATATTTTTGTGGAATATGTGGATAAAACTTGAAAAGTAGATTTATAGAAATATATATCTTATATAATTTATTTATAGCTATATATATGTTTGCTAACTTAATTTGTTTAATGAAATGATTGAAAATTTTAGGATTGGAACGGTTGTATCCAGATCCAAAATCTTCTCTAACTTCCATTTACACAATAATCAGTCATGAATTTAATGACAAAACAGCACTAACTTCACGTGTTGTGGGAATAACTGTAAAGAAATCTAAATTATGGGAAAGTACTTTGGACGTCAAATGGCCAGAACCTATGTCTTTTAAAAGTATTAGTAAAACCAAAGGAGTAGCTTTTAAGAATGCAGCTTTCAAGTGTTTACAATGGCTAGAAATGAATGGCAAATTGAAAAATGGTAAACCTATCATCTATGATAAGACGGATATGAGGAAAATGCAATTAAAATCTGTTGATTTAAGTCTTACCTCTGAACTTTTGCACAAGATGACAGACTTGATCGAAACTTATGAAACGGTAACATTCTTTATTACAATTTTTAATGTATGAATTAATCACTATAATTTGTGTAATATTTGAGAATTTTAATATTATGTAATATTCAGAAAATACGGGACATGACAACATGGGAAAATGCCTCCAATAATGTTACATACAATCTATTACATCAGAATATGTCTCACCATCATCCAATTCTTGGAGAAGCAAATTACACAGATACTCATGATCGCAATAAAATATTGAGACATAGATTATTTGAAAGACGTACCGATGAAGCTGTTAATCTACCAATAATCGAATTTAGGTATAGCAAATACATAATTTATTTTATATTTATGTGCATGTACAATATTTGATATGTATAATTTCTAAGATTATTTATTTTATTATTTATTTTAGAGATGAAATTCTCTCTAAGTTAGAAAACAATCAGGTTTTACTGATAGAAGGCGACACTGGTTGCGGCAAAACTACTCAAGTTCCTCAGTTTATTATGGATAATTTTGCATGGAGTGGGAATGCTACTGATTGTAATATATTAGTATCGCAACCACGTAGAATCTCGGCGATTTCTCTTGCGGATCGTATTGCACATGAAAGAGGAGAAGGAGTGGGAGATGTTGTGGGTTTTCAAGTGAGATTGGAACAAGTACTACCAAGGGAACTCGGTGGGATACTCTTTTGCACTACAGGTATACTGCTGAAAAAATTGCAGAGCAATCCCGGTTTAGAAGGATGTTCGCATGTTATTTTGGACGAGGCGCACGAACGTCACATCGATACTGACATGCTAATGATTCTACTCAAGAGAGCCCTAAAAAAAAATCCTAATTTAAAAGTCCTGATTATGTCGGCGACTATAAACGCGCACATGTTTCAACAATACTTCAATTGTCCTGCTGTTAAAGTACCCGGTAGACTATATCCTGTAAAAATGCATTTCCTAGAGGATATCGAAAGTCTACCAAATATCCGAAAATATCGGCAGTATGGTTATTATCGTCATAAGAATGACGAAAATGAAAGGCTCTCAGTTGATTACGAGAAAGTAGTACAGGTTATAAAATGGATTTCTGAAAATAAATCACCTGGTGCTATTTTGTGCTTCTTACCTGGATGGAATGAAATTACACAAGTGCAGAATATGTTAGAGTCTTTACCGCTTGAAAAGGAAAAACAACTGATCTTGCCGATCCATTCCAAAGTATCGCACAGCGCGCAGCGCAAGATTTTCGAACATACATCCGCGGACACACGGAAGATTATTTTGGCTACAGACATTGCTGAAACTGGCATCACCGTTAGTGACGTGGTTTACGTTATAGATTCTGCTATACGAAAGGAATCGCGATGGGATAATGATAAAGATTTACTGTGTATAAGCAATCGCTGGGTTTCGCAAGCAAACATTCATCAGAGGTAATTATAAAGAATAAGTAAATATACACTGTAATAAAATTGCATTATTTGCATATCTGAATGAAGAAACATAAATGTGTCTTTATAATTGAAGTTTTTATCTATATAAAAAATAACATTTTTAAAATATGATTTATATCAAAATAATAATTTTTTTTTGATGCAGAAAAGGAAGAGCCGGGCGAGTTAAACCTGGTGAAAGTTATCATATAATTACAAAAGCAGAATATACAAAATTAGAACCGCATCCACTGCCGCAAGTGTTGTGCAATCCTCTGGAAAAAGTAGTTCTCGACACTAAAACGTATACGAACGAAAAGGCGGATAAATTTCTGAGTGGCTTGTTGGAACCGCCTAGTCCAGTTTCAATACAGAAGGCGGTAAGGAATTTAATAGATCTCGGAGTTTTGGATGACGAGGAGAATCTTACAGCATTGGGTAAACGAATGGCGTTATTCCCGATGCATCCTAAATTTAGTAAAGCGTTGGTATATTCCTCCATTTTTAAGTAAGTTTAAATACTAATATATTCTTTGTGTGTGTGTGGTCACTGTGTGTCAGAGTCACATTATCTTTCTATGTTAGTTTTCTATATTAATGGTGAGTAATTCTTGTTTTACAATAGCTGCATACATCCTATTGTAACAATAGCTAGTGCATTCTCCGGTGAAAATAATATCTTTTATGGTGTACTGGATCACAAATCCGAAATCAGGGAAAATAAAAAATTGTACCATCCATCCAGTGACCATATTGCATTGGCATGGATATATAAGCAATGGTTCAAACACTATAACACGAGTTCACATTTAATACTAAGATTCTGTAAACAAATGAGACTTCGGCAGAACAGAATGGAAGTGTTAAGTCGTAAGTAATAGTTCCATAAATTACAACTTTCTATTTAATGATTGCTGTTTGAGTCTATACAATTCAATATTTTAATTTATATATCGATGAATCTGTTTTAAACTGCCTAAAATCACAATTTTGCAGAGATACGAAATACGTTTATTCAACAGCTGATTCAAAGCCGTTTATTGAACAAAAATACAACATATTTTGATAATTTTGATAATGTAATGAATAAATATGAGAATAATGACGAACTAGTACGAGCTCTGTTATATTCTGCTACACAGCAATTGATAGAACATAAAGACATGGGATTTAAAAATGGAATCCTGAGAAAGGGCGTTAACGAACTCCGAACTCAGTAAGCAAATTCTATGTAACTGCAGATTTAAATTGAAAAAGCGAGTTGTAGTAATCTCACTTGCAACTTTATTTCTACAGGGGTCGTGCTATAGCTGTTATTTCGGGAGAAAGTGTTAATTATAAGCGAAAAGTTTGGCCGTCTTCTTATCTGACGTATTTTAATGGTGCGCATTGCGAAATGAGACGTGGTACAGTGGTTCGTGAAACAAGCATGATATCACCTCTGTCAATATTACTTTTTAGTCAGGGAGAAGCTCGATGTTACAAGGTAATTAAATAATTGTACAATTAAATGCTATATGTGCGCGCGCGCGTGTGTGTGTATAATTAATAATACACGATTTATAATTTATTTTGGATTTCAGCAAAATGATGGCAGAATAGAAATTGTAATTAAGATTAATCCACGATATACTTTAAGATTTTCTTGTGACAACGAGTGAGTATTTATATGTATATCTATATTTTTTTTCTTTAGTATATATGTATTGTGTGTGTATCTCAATTCGTTTAAATTTTTTATTCTTTTCTAAAATTCTTATTATATCTTGTATTTATTTTCTTCTAGAACTGCGAATGCGCTCCTAAAATTTAGAAATATTATGTGGTCATTAGTACAATACTCATTGGAGAAGCAAGGAGTTGTTGAATACAATGATCTTAATTCAAAGCAAATATTTGAGTACAAAGATGATTTACTCGAAACTCTTTCAGAAATTCTGCATGTGTCGTCTAAGTCCATAGAAGATGTAGATGAAAAAATCTCTACAGCTTAAATGTATATAATATGATACATTGTATATAATAATAATAATAATAATTCGGAAGTTTCAAGTAACGCTATCTTTATTGATATAGAGTTATTTTAACTTATCATTATGTATTCTTGTTATACATATGTATAAAATTATATTAGAAACAGTAATATTTACAAAAATATAAAATATAAATAGCATATATTAGATAACCAATTGCTAAAAAAATTATGCTGGATTCTTTTGCTTCAAATTTAATTTAATTAAAAATTTCATTCTTATACATTTATATATAAATTGCATAATTAAAGTTGTCGATCCCAACACATACATGTATAATTAAAGAGGTTTCAACATATGTGATATATTTGGTTTCTTTACTCACTCTTTCACTGTAACGTGGTCAAATGGCAAGTATAGATAGTAAGAAAATAAAGTAAAAGAGAAGTAAAAGAGTACTTATACCTTCAAGAGACTTGGTGACTCCTAGACTTAAGATAGTTTGGGTATCTCTCGTTTGTTACATGTATATAAGTCTGAATACAATATGTAATATGTATAAGAAGGTTTGTATCTCTAGGCTAGAGATTGTTAAGGTTTTGTAAGAATCAGAAGAATATGATCAGGCAAAAGATGACATTAACATTCCAAGAATAATGATTGTAAAACAAAGATAACATATATGTATTTTTCATAGGAAGAATATGAAGAAAACATTTTTACACATTTTAACAAATACGTAATTATGTATATTTAATTAGACATTCTGCATTTTGTTCCCATTAACAATTTTTATTATAAATATTAAGAATTTGTTACAAACATATATATGTACAATCACAATGTGTGATGATTTTTGTAACTAGGATAACAATGTCGTTTCAATTAAATAGTATGAGATATTCAACAATATAATCATATAACGCGATAAAAAATCGGGACACACATTGTTTGATATTCATTAATTAAATACGTAGCTTTCTCGAATGTCTCTTTGATAATACATATTTTATTTTGTGCGAAGCGCTTTTTTTAACGCACCCGAAACCTACCGACACCAGCTTACCCACGCCAAAATGCTCGAACAATTATCAAAATTTGTTCCCATGAAATCTCTTTTATGCTACATTACGATCGCTCGTGAGTATTTGAATAGTGTACAGAACTCGGTTCTCGAATACCTATGTAAGCTTTATAAAAAATTAATAAATAATAATTATTAAAAATTACAAACAAAAATATCTAAATCCGCAAAAAAAAATATTGTTTTTAATTTATGTAAAATTATTTTAAATATTAACGACAAATCTATATTTAAATACAAGGTTTGTCAACGAAAGAAAAGTACGAAATTTTAACACATTCGCTTCGAGTTATTTTGTAATAAAAAGACAACATATTTCGTCTCCCGAAGCCAATGTGTGTATGTGTGTGTTAAATTAATAAATTATGTTGTATAAAATAGAGTTCCTGTATAGTGTTACACATGATTTTCTTTTCATCTGTGTATTGGCTGTTCATCAATAAAGAGACGATAAAATATCAGTCATATTGTAAACATTTCCTAAAAACTGTAATAATAACAGTTTTGATAGAGAAAGAGAGCGGAAATAACAATAATTGTCATAGCAATTAACAATAATGTGTATTATCTGGAAAATATATATACGATATTAATACCTTTTTGGCAAGATATCATTGCTCTTTGCTTATTTACATTGCTTATTCTTCTATATTATCATTTTCGAAAGAACAAATCTTTTTCTCAAAACATATCACGAAAAAATATAATGTTTATTCAAAATATATTTATAATAAAAAACTATGTTTTATTAACTAATTATTTAATTTTTGTGCTATCATTACTCTTGTAGAAGATATATCTTTACATATCTTGTGAATATTCATTTTACTTCAGAATAATTCTATTCTATCGTATCAGTGTATCCGTGTGAAATACTTACTTACTTAATTTATGATTTGTGCAGTTTTTTTCTTCATTACGGACTAATATTGCACTTCCGGCCGATAATGCGTCTAGCATATCGATTTTCGATTACTATAACTGTGATAATTTCGATAGCAAGAATTGCAGTCCGTTTAAAAAAAAAATACATAACTAAACACGTTCTTATCATTGTGTATGATAAAAACGTTATCACCCTGAATTCATTCCACATATCTTGCCTAATACACTATATATATAATCAATAAAACATAATAAATAAAAATAAATATGTAATATATATGTGTATCATTAAAGAAATTATTTTACGAATATAATTAGTTATACTATATTATATATATTGTAAACTCCTAAAGTTTTTTTTATGTGATATTTCATTAAATTTTTCTTTAATAAATTAAATTAACAACTAGACACTGGACGTATGTGTACGTCGTATGTACGTGTTGCTTGATAAAGATATCTTGGGCTTTCGTGTATAATTTACTTAAAGATATATTAATATAAAAAATAAAAGCGCACACACAGAAGAGTCTCAATTCTTAGTCCTGTGAAATGAGCAACAAGAACGTATTAATTACCCGCTTGATGAACTCTTTTAAGCGCATAGCGCTTTCTATTGTGTATCATAATACTATTATAAAACTATTATAAATTATCTATTTTATAATTAATTTGTAAGTTAATTTCTCTATACTGGCCATAGAAACTTTCTGCAAATTCAAAATTTACGTGACACACACATTTTTCGATATACTAAAATTTAAAAGTTTAATAACGCGAATGCATTTTGTTATTCTATTAATATTAAATTCAATATTGGATATTCTATCTACTATATGATGGCAAAAGTTTTTGATTTCTATTTATGCTCTAAAAATAATATGTTACATCCATGACGTAAATGTAGTATTAATAAAAAATAGGCTAAAAACAGAAACTATAGAGACTATAGAGAATATTGATGAGAAATTGTCTTAATATTTACGATTTGTGATATTCTTACTGCAAAATATTGCGATAATTATGTCTCTGTCATTATCAAGTCTGCGGGCAACGGAAAAATATACCGAGTGCTCTCCTCTCTCTTTACAATGATTCTAATATTATATAAATAATATTTAATATAAAATTTATAAATAGTATTTTTTTAACGTATACCTAACATCATCTTTCATCATATTGGTGGAAACATATGTCTTAACAAATTACGCAGCTCTATTATATCGGAATAAATCTAAAAATTTTTTTAATTTCTCAAAAAATGGATCTGATCAAATAAAATTATATATGACTTTTGTGATTATTCGTGGTAGAAAATCCGAAAATATAAGCAGTTTCTCTGAAGCAAAATAGTCGCATATCAGTATTATTATAGATCCTTCCAGAAAATCTTTAAGGAAAAGCTCAAAGTGCTCAAAAGCTTCGGTTATGATACCAAACTGTTACACTGATTGCTACAGGGTGGCAAGACAGTGACGAGGCTCTCAGTCTCGCTATCGCTGGCACTAAAGTTGGCTCTTTCCAGGACCATCGCGGCCTCGCTTCTCGCGCCAAAGAACGGCTGATAATAGGACGGCGGTATCTTCCCGTCCAGATCCACACCAGAGTCGGCGCTCTTAGAGATCTCCGACAGTTTGCGAAAGTTGCCGAAGAATACGCTGTCGGTGCCGATGCTCTCGGCACCGCTCTCGCTTTCGGCGCCGTCGCACACCGACTCGGTCTCGTCGGTCTCCTCGGACACGCTGCTCACCTCGTGTCGCAGTAGTCGCTTGCGGGAACCATTGCTGTCGGTGCTACTGAGATAGCCACTGTCCTCGACCTTGACATGACTGCGCCGATTGTCCGCCACCAGCGGTAGCATCAAGTTACTCGCGCCGGAATCGCAACTCCTCGAGAAACCCTTCATCAGTTGCGTCGTTCTGGAACCGCTCCTCCCGGCAATGGTCATCGATACTCCACGATCGTGTTCTAGTCCTCGTGGAACTTCTGTGATGAGAAAAGCTTGTTGCAGGTCGTTTCTCTCGCGCTGTCCTCGTTCCACGCGACGAAACCTCCTCTTCTACGTCAATTTGGTTTTCATAAAACCTGTATCTATCTTTAGAATCCTTGATCTCGATTCGTGTCTCGCACGGACAATCCCTGCAACCATTCATCACGGTACGGTCGTCTATACTCTCGTTGAGAAACGTCAACCCCATCAAGGCGACGTCCTTCTCGTTGTAAACCTCGTACTCAGTCGCAATGTCATTGACAAATTGAATCTGCGATGCGCAGAGACACGTCTGGTTCCCTACATGGTATCCGTTGACTTTCGGGACAGGAGCGCCGTTGCTGGCCGTAGGGTCACCCGCTTCGACAAGTCTCCTGTCCCAAACGTTTTTTGAAGGAAACGACAACGATGACGATGAAGGTGGTGGCGGTGGCAGCAGCAGTTTCGCGTCCTCGACGCGTCGCGGCGGCTTCGGCCGTTGGTAGATCTCTTCCGTGGGCGGCAACGGCACCACGTCCGGCTGATTATGCGGTTGCCGTTGTCTTTTCGCTTGCCTACTATCCGGCGTCAGATACTTGCACTTCTTCCATGATAAAGTACCGTCACTCGATTCGCCGTTCATTTGGCATTTGATATCGTGACTATGATCCTGCGTTGTCGAGTGCGGTTCTTTTAAATTCGACTTGATCTTTGCCTCGTAGATCTCTCGCAGACTTCCATGACCACACCGTTGTCGCGCTGCGCTGGAATTATCGTCGCGGAAACTGCCCTTGCTCCTGAGCAGGATCTGCGTTGGTCGCTCTAATGAGTCCACGTAAACCTCATTAATCATATCTGCCCGTTCGTATTGCATGTCGTCGTTGATTCGTAGCTTCATCGGCTTCCGATCAAGCGTATCCGGTTCGTACTCGGACTCATCAAGCTTAACGTAATTCTCGGGCGAGTCTTGCACTCTAATAGTCAAGTGACCTGGATTCTCCGGTTCGTATTGGATCTCCGGACCGCTGTCGTCGCTGCAGGCAGGACTGGCGTAACCGTCGTTCACATAGACCTCACTTACCAGCGCGTATGCTTCCGATCGCTGACTGCTGATCAATTCCGGTAAGCTGTTGTAACAGTTTCTTTGAACGAGGATCTGATTGCTAAGTTTCGACATCGTCATCTCTCCGGTACGAGTGTTGATTACGGCGTTTTGCATCGTCAGCTCTTCGTCCATTGGCAATGCCGTCGATAGAGCCGGACTAGATTGATTATCCATTGACGACGACTGGTCTGGCGACGTCGACGATTTTCTGCTGCACTTGGAACGTTCGAGACTGTCCACCTCGTAGCTGCCGATTGTCGCGGGATCGGATGACCTCGCATGATGATGATCCAACGCTTTTACGTCCACCATCTCCCGTATCACGGCGTCCATGATGCGTTTTGCAGTGTTCTTCGCACCGGGTAGTTCGTTGATCATATCCGGAAGTTCCTTTTTCCTCGACGGCGGCGCGCTCGGCGCCTTCGACTTCCTCGATCTCTTCGGAGGGCAGTTATTCTGTGATGGCTGCAATTTTGGTTTCTCCGATTCTTCAGTGTTACTGGACGACGATCTTTCCGTCTTCGCCGATTCGTCCTCACTCTTGCTGTTTTTGTCGTCCTTTCCGCTTTCCTTCACCTTGTTCTCTATGGCTGCACTCTCTTCCATCTGCTTGATGAAGGAATTCTCGATGGCCTTGCGGACTTTAGCGTTTATCGTATCGTCTCCAGCAGTGAATTGGAACGTCGTTCCGTTCATTCGCTTGCCGCAACCGTAACGATCGTACTCGGACTCGTCGAACATGGATCTGGTCGATCGTCTTGACACGCTGTGACGATCGTCGTTCCCAAGAATCTCGCTTTTAACAGAGATATTTTGGAAGGTCCTCAACATCGGCGGATTGTCCTTCCACGATGATATCGATTTGCCGGCGAGATTCGGGCGATCGTCCGGATCAGCAAAATCGCGTCTCGCCAACTGTTTCAGGTACTCCAGATTCCTGGCGAACGTCCGCGCGTTCTCCTGAAAATTCCTGCGCGTGTCCTCGGCATCTCGCCAGCTACGTCGCGGCGGCCGCACATCCTCCAGCCATGCGCGCACCTTGCTCTCACCATGGGTCGGCAGATCGGGCACGGGAAGCGCGGGCAGTTGTCGGGGGGAGTCGCTGCTGCAGCCGGGGCATCCGGTACATCGTTGGGATCGGCGTGATTTCGCGACCGAACCACCCTGGACGGAGCTCGACGTCGCTCTCTGCTGATGTTTGCTCGATTTTGCCGACTCGCATCGCTCGAAATTGCTCTCTTCTTCCGGAATACCTGTAATGATGACGATGGTGATGAAGTAAAAAAGAAAGAGAGATCAATTATTCTTGATTATAGCAAGTGAAAGGCATGTAATTTTCAGAAATCTATCTCACGAGTAAAAAAAAATATTCTTAATAACATTTTAAATATCTTTTACATATTATTATAAAGATTGCTCTATCATTTTATTTATTTCCTAGAGTATGATATATCCATTTTTTGAAAAAAAAAGTACTCACCGTTGAGAGTAGGAACGAATCTCTTCGCAGCCATCTTGTGCTTGGCGATGGAAATGACCTCTCGGATTTTGAGCAGGAACTCGATAGCGGCCGGAGGTGGGGCCTAAAAAAATGCCAGGCTGTTTTCAAATTATCTTGTCGCTGGTCAAGTAGACGTAGACGAATCGAATAGACCTTCAGCGGAGCCATTAATAAAACATTCGACAGTTCGAAAACGTTAAACTCGCGCGGATGACTCGCGCAAATAAGAAGATAAGCAACTTTCTTTCACCGTCCCCGTCCCATTAAGCAACTTACCAGCAATAGCTGTCGATCGAAATACGCGGGATTGAAGTACAGTTTCCTCCGTTGAGCACCTGGAAGAACCGGTACATCCTGCTGATGCGGGTTGTCAGCCGTCTCCACGACCCGTACATCCTCTTCCGGTAGTCTCTCGCCCAGAATAGAACCCGCGGAGAAGAGTCCTTCCGATTGCTCCAGATACACGCAGTGTGGATGAACGATCGCAGACGTTATCTGCTGAAAAAAAAAAGAAGTACACCTACTGTCAATCGAGAGAGATTCGCAGCGCACGAGTTGGGTAGCCTTCCGTATACTTGAGAAACAGACCTTAAGAGACCTTACGAATCTTACTTTCTCTCGCACTAAATTCTTCAATTCCTCGCGATTAATCAATATTCATTAACTCGAGAACGTTTAAAGACTGACTCTTTGAACGCAACGCGACTTACATTTGGACTGTTTCAGGAAAGAGAGAATGGTGGATACGTGGAAGCGGTTCGTAGAATGCACTGAAATCGTAGTGCGTGATATTCCGACAAGCGGCACGGTGTAAAAGTGGGATGCACCTCGCCTAGTTGGGATGGCACGGACTAACGGAGCGCAAAACTAATGCGCTAATTGGATGCATTATTAAACGCGCGCGGTGATCCGGCGGAGATGAATGGTTTTTGTAGAACCCAAAGAGAGAGAGAGAGAGAGGGGGGGGGGGGGGGGGGGGAATCATTTCAAGTTTCTGAGTAAGGATGACATGTATTGTGATTGGGGGGGGGGAGGGGGGATACCGCAAATCCCAAAAAGATAATCGAATAATTTCGTTGCGTAGTATGTTTTGCATTTCAATAAGCACGTAACATCTCCTCGAGACGACGTATAAGGTTGTCCAATTACGTGATGGAACAAATGTATCTACGATCTCCTTCTGACACGTTAATTAAAATTTCTCATAATCCTTGATTGTGTAAAAATAGATATATTTATGTATGAATATGTTGTATACTTTTGTGCAAAGCGCAACTCTTTCAGATAAAATAATATCATTCATTTAGATTGGATTGCTCGAATAAAGACACAGATTGTTCGAATAAAGATCGAGAAGAAGTTACTTGAAAAAAAATTAACAGCTTATTTACGTTTTCGAAACCTTGCTCGTTATCGCTCGGTGGCAGATCATCGCCCAAATCGCTCTCGGTAAGTCCGCTATTCGTGTCGCTCTCAAAATGTCTCGTAGCGGCTAGCAATGGATTATTCTTGACCAATCCACTGCCGTCTCGACCGCCGTCGAGAGTGATGTTCGCCTCCTCAATGGATTTTCTCTTCGCCCTTCTGCTGTGCAAATATAACGATACGCTGGCCACGTATATGAGAGCCAAGATAACGGAAGAGAGACCGATGGCGATGTATTCCGTAGCTGATAAACCTTGAGACACTTGGGATGTCGATGCGAACATCACTTCGCGTACGTCTGTCATGAGAGAGAAAAACATTTTTAGTGCGAATCATTTCTTTAACAATCTGATATATTCATCATTTTCAAAACATTTTTAAGCATTTTTAGATCACAGAATTTATTCAAAATTAAATCAAATGTGAGAATCGACTTTTAATAACGTACATAAAATATCCTGGAAGGATTGACCAAACAAAAGGACAAGCAGGGAAACCACCTAAGCGTTGGAAAGCTTAAAGCTTTCGAAGGTTTCTTCTATCTCTCAGGAAAAAGAAACAATCGATGGATAGAATAAAAGGAGTGTTGAAAAATAGGACACAGTCTTATAGAAGAAGAAGAAGAAGAAGATATAAAAGATGTAATCTTTTCATCAAATGTAAGTAAAATGAAAAATATTCAATATAGCATTTTATAAAATGTATTAGTAAATGTTACGTACTATTTTTCGATGGTGAACCGGCCACTCTGAAGGCCACGCACGGTGTGAAAACACCGCTAAACGTCGACTTGGGTGACGCGTCTCTACAGACTAGTTTGGCCGTCACGACTCGCCCTTCAGCAGCATCCCTTAGTCCGGTCTCGCCGATCCACTAAGGTGATCGATATTGCGTCAAATCGAGAATCGCCAAAGATTACGTCACACAAAACTTCATATGTATTTTCCTACATTTATCATGAGATGTTCGCATGCCAATATATAAAATACAGAAGGAAGTAGTAAAACCAGTCAAGTGTATAAAATGAAAATTAGATCGAATTAGAAGATTCTCTCTCGGTTCCCCTCAAGTGCCGTTCTCGCGCGAGCTAATTACGGTAATTGAAGGCACCGCCGGCGCCGTTTAAGCTTCCCGTTTTCTGTATCACCACCGCTCGGTATCGCGGCTGATACGATTGAATCGGCAATCACGATTACACGCCGTTCGGCGGTGTCGTAAACACTATATTTCTCTCCCGGACCTGCTATCATCCCGCTGCTACTTACGCGCGACTAATTGCGATCTTATACACTCGTGTAATGACAGAGTAATAAGTTATTCCAGCAAGTTCCCACCGACCTGGAGGAATGTCCTGCCCTCGTCCCGGAACAATCTGAAGGGCGGCTCGGTGTCGGAAAGATTCCTCAGCTCGGACCATCCCACCCTTCCCAATTGCTGGGCACCGGCAATCCCGCATACAGGAGTGGTCACACCTAGTTTCGAAAAGTAATTTATGTCCGTGTTAAGAGCGATCGTCAGCGAGCGAAACGAGGCGAGAGATAATGAGTGAAATGAACGCCAACGGGGCTCTCCTCCGAAAAGAAGCGCGTCAGGAGAATTTTTATGAAGGCTGTACTAAACTTTCGTGTTTGCCTTCTTGTCTTGAAAATGGAAAGGAAAAATATGCAACTGTGATCAATTCGCTCTATTTATTATTCCAAAAATATCCTACGGAGTAAAACTAGACTGAGTTTTTTCATTTCAGATAATTACACGAGAGGAAGAATATTACATTTATTACGTCGAACCATGTATTTTTGAACACGAGAGGCTCGAATTAAATAAAACAAAAAAAAAAAAACTATTCAAAATTTAAAAATACTGATGTACTGATTAAATAAAAACATATATAAAATATCCACACACACAAAAAGATCAATTTCTAATATCTTTAAAAAAAATTCCTAGAGATCATCAATTTTTCATATTATTACAGTAGACTGGGCCCTTAATCTATTTTTACAGCAAAATAATATTGCGCCGTCGAACTAATCGCTGCTTGAATTATAAGATCATGAAAGTTTACCTTCAAAGCGAATCTCTGCGTGCGGATATATTATCTGCCCTCGCTGTGGTAGAAAGACATACGGTACTCTCTCCACGTAACCGTTGTTGCTGACGAATCCCGCAACGTTGCACTCTAAAAATATAAGATTCTGTTCAGAGAAAATAGAAAAAATTCTCGTGCAAATTATAATAAATATTTATAATACACCTCTCGACTAATTAAAATTGATTGTTATATAACATCCGTGGATATGTAAACATCAGTCATTAGTCAATTTATTCAGCCTCTATTTTTGAGAGAAGATGTATAAGTATCTTAACATTTTATATCGCGAAATTAGATAAAATTCCTTATTGATAAAACGTCAAATAAATCTTGCGTGCAATTCGTGGACGCAATCGCAAAGATAGGACAAGGCAATAGATTAGATTATACGAATCAGAAGTAAAAAATCCGTAAACGCTCAAAACAAGTGTTTTTCGTAAAAAAACAGAATTAAGGTGTCTCTGACGATGGCGACTATTTTTTTTTTTTTTCCGTGCATTTTACCCAACAATTTCAGTGAGACAGCTTATAATTTAGGGCAGAATATCGCCCCCGGCCAGGTCCGCTGTTTTGCTCATTTAAATAAATTGCGAAAGTATCTTCGACTTATACCGAAAATCTCGCAGATCTCGGGAAACGCAAAGAGTCTGCACGAATGTAAACTCCGCGAAAGGGAAGTCGCGTAAAACGTATTGAACATTTCTTTTTTCGTTTCAAGAGAGAAAAATCGCGACCGCAGAAGACAGCATAACGAGGTGTTTTTGAGAAGATATGTACTATAATTATGTCGGGCTTATTATTGAATTTCTGTAGCGGCAGTTACACGAGATGCATGCTCCTCGAATGTAAGGCAACGTAATCTTCGCGCCGAAATAGAAAAAAAATATTTGCCATTTTTTTCTGCAACATCTCTCTTTCTCTCTCTCGTGAAAAAAATTATTAAAACATTATAAAATTATAATATTAATATAACATAATATTTTAATATAATATAAAATCTCTAAAAAAAACCTCACAAAGATAAACAAAAATTTTATATACTTGGTATCGCGACGCTACCGCGTCGCTTGATTAATATCATATAATAAATTAATATAATATAATATAATATTAATATAATATATATATTAATTTAATATAATATTAATATTAATATTATTATTATTATATTATTTAATATTATAAAGTCATTGTTCGTATTATTCGCAACGAAAAATATTAAAAAGTTTAAGAGAGATTGCATTTGAAAACACTATCATCAAGTAATTGTTAGCGTCTATCAGAGATTGCAATAAAACATTCTTTGCACATGTAACATGAACAATAATTATATGTAATAATCGTAATGTAAAGTAAAAGACTTTGACTACGTGATATTTATTCATATTAAAAAAATACAGCCTCATATATAGTCGCTTCTGAAACTTTATGTATTAAGCTTAACTTCGTGGAAGAGAGAGATGTTAATCGACAAGTATTTATTACCACTATCTCGAATGTCCGAGTTCACAAATTCGGTTAACCGCATATTTGATTATGCAAACGCCTTCCTCGAATTAATCTCCGGTATCGATGTTCGCCAGGGACGAACATAAAATTCAATACCCTCCAATTTCGCGCGGCGCGTAAGGTTTCAGCGAGAGAGCAGGTCGTGTATGTTTTTGCAATTTCTAATTTACATTGTACATTATTGGATAAAAAGCGCGATAAATCGACGAGTCCCCGGTAAGGTCTATCGGATTTAATTACACAGCGCTGGGGAAGAGACCTGGCTCGCAGAACCTGTTCGATCGTTCGAGGGAGTCCGTTCGGACATTGCGAATTTATATTCCCCGTAACCGGGAATCATTTATAAATTATATATCGGGACTCCGCGGTTTTTTTTTCGCGCGAGTGATGATAATGCTCGAAATTCAATGGCGGACAATAACTTTTCGCTCAATTACAGTTGACGTCGCGATAACGCGCGCTTATTTTATGGAGATATCGCGCGCCGTGTTATTTAAATTTTCTCTACTTCTTCCTTGAGGATAACTTAATTCCACGAAATGTCATTGTAAGTCGACGTTCTTGCAATTTGCAGATGTTAACGTTTTTATATATGATACATACAAGATATACATATAAGACAAGCCTGATGCTAATACACAGAGATCGACAGCGCATCCATTTTGTATATTGTATATTTATAAGTTCTTGCGGTGTTTCTTGAGCTAATATCGAATGATTTTGCTAATCGATGAAGGAATCTGCATGTATAAGGGAATTGTTAAGAATTTATATGATAACCTGTTCGTAAATTTTCAAGCCGCTTATCGGACTGATATTTGAAGGCATCTGCAGATTTCTCATGAGAAACGCGCGGATCCAGCCACAAAAAATACACCGGTTTCTCGCGTTGCAAGAAACAATGTTAGGGTCAATTTACGTTTATCTAAGTTAAGTCTAATTAACATCAACAGACAATCGCGACTCTCGATTCTCGATTTACGGCTACTTACACTCCCGTGACGATACGATTTTCCGACTACGGGATCCGGGATATCAGCGTCGGATAATGATCAGCTGATTAACGATCGTCGAGTTTATACCGCGCGAGCAAGGGTCAGCGACTGCGAATCCCGGTCGCGGTTGAACTCTGACCCTCTCCCGCCATAAGACGACGATGAATGTACCAAACTAAAAGTGGCGTCCGGTTCTCTGTGGACCAGGTGATAGATAATGTCATCTCGCGCGAAAGCTGTCGCTGACCCGTAGTCGCGCCAGGCCTCGATAAGGTTGATCGCTCGCAGTTAGCCGGATCCCATATATTTTCCGAATTTTTTCGCGATATTTCTCCTATGTTTCTCTCTATCGATATTGAAATAATTAATTATAGGTCGTATACGTAGGTGACCATTAGGAAGTTGCTGAAAATAAATAGCTGTTATTTTATACCGAGTTGACGGAATGATATAAATCATCACGTACTTGTAGAAGAAGATCGTTATTTTTATTATCGTATAGTGCGAAAGATATATATATTTTTGATGAACTTGTAAAGATAAACATATGATGAAAAAGGGTCGAAATTTTGGCACAGTGATATGTGCTTTCGACAAATTTTAGGTATATAATCCAATTCAACATAAGTCTAGAAAAATATAATTTAGTTTCAGCAACTTCCTGAATATACAATAGTCATCCTAGCCGATGTTTTCGCCCTTTTTCATCAGGTTTAATAATTTACAAATAAACAATATTTTTCTTGCATTATGCGCTAATACAAATAAAATTTCTTTTATAATATTTAAAAAAATTTTATTCTGTTCACTCGTTAGAAAATAACAGATAGTCACAATTTTAACAATTTCCTAATGATTGTATATATACGGTTGATGAATTAATTTACGCGAGTTTGCATACGGTTATAATGTACGAGAGTTTTCGGTACTTTTTAATGATAGTAAAAATTTTAAAAATACATATATAAAAAAACAAAATTATGAATAAAATGAGGCTTTTTGTTTCTCTTTCACAAAAAAATCGTATTTTATGGAAAAAAAAAAATTAGTTTTTTTTTATATCTCTATCTACAGTGCTCTGAAATTATGGAGATACGTGTATATTAGGAAATTATATATGCCAGCTATATATCGCAAAGCAAATTTTATTGCTATTCGATGATACGCGGCGATAATCCTGCGATGATCAGCAAATTAGTTTAACACGTACTTGCTCAGCGTTCAGCGAGATCCTTTTGCGCTTCCTGCCGTTGGCGATAATTATGAACCTGAACGCGCGGCAGATTACGCATCTGCGTAAGATCATCGATTATAAACTGATGACAGCAGCGCGTCGAGAAAACATTGAAGAATAAACGAGCCGAACGTTTTCTTAATGATCCATTCAAATCTTAGTATTCCGTTGAAACATATCTTGAACTCGACCAATTTTCATCGCAATCGTGTAATTTCATATCGGGTATAGCTAGTAAATTATCTTCCACGGAGGATCGATTTAATGATTCTCTGAGTTTCCGTAATAATCTCCATCGCCGAGCGTCGTCGATCTATGCGAATGTATGTACGTGATAACGCGAAGAGATTCCAGCATTACGTTTCCAATCTGCGAACATCCCTGACGTATCTCGATTTCTGACGCATCATGCGTCACGAAAGAATCCTAACTACGTAACTACGGCAAATCATTATCATTCAAGCTGGCGAGCGCCGGCTTCCGGCTACCGATGGCGTATCGCGCGAATGGCCTTGACACCTGTTGCTGGGATTGACACACCAGGAGATTGCGATGTCATTCGTTTGATTGAGTCGCGAAATTAATATCAAAGTATATAAATAATAACATTATATTTTCTCGAGCATATAAAAAGTTTAATTACTATATTTAAAAAATATTCCAAAGTTAAATATTATATATTTTTCAAACCAAACATTTTTTCTAGACTACTTGTCTTTCTTGCAATATATTGTTTTCTCTTCAGTAATTTTTTACAAATATAAAGAGTACAAAAACGAAAAAATTAAGCAAGGCTTAAGCTATCAAAGTTGAAAGCGCCCAGAGCAAAAGTTAGATCATGTACTACGAGATCTTCTGGCTTTCTCTCTCTGAGGAGAAATCGGCATCTGCTCATTGTTTCTTGCGGTACTTCTTCTACCGGCGTGCCGATGCCAACTAAATGCCAAGCATGCTTGCTTTCTCGGTTCCGCTGCCATCAGTGGCGGCAAGTTATCTTCGCGAATCGCTTATTTATTGCTTGCAAAACAGGCACGCGTGGCATTGGAAAGAGCCGCACGCTTGACACGACTACTTGGCCCCGAGAAAGCCCCCGAGGAACGTGGGTCTCACTATGATTTCAGAATACTCGAGTATTACGCGAAAACGAGCAATTCTCAAAGCACGGCAAGAGAGCTCTACGATATTTCCTAAAAAAATAGGTAGAGAAATTAATTTACGAACAGCTGATTCAATCAGCTGACTCTGCCCGCACAGATTCTGACAGATCTGCTTGACTTGCTTAAAATTCTTCGACAAAGTGGAACGAGTGATTCGTTCAACGGAAAAAAACGTTCGAAAAACTCTTTCTT